TATGTGTCGATTTGCCGTCGGTCAGTGCGTTGATGACCATTCCTAGTGCACTCAAACTCTTGTTGATCTTCTTGGCCTCCTCCAGAGTCTGGCCACTTGCACCGGTCTTTCCGACCTTTTCACTACCAGCCAAATCCACCAAAAACAACTGACCACTCTTGGCGGACCCAGTTTCGACATTCTTCTGGGTGACGGTAATAACGAATATGGAGTGGGAGCGAGACGATTCCTGGTTCATGTTGGTTGCAGCGACAGCGCGTGCTGCTCCTCCTCGGCGCATCACTTCGTAGACCTCCTGCACGCTAGATACGTAGACTTCCAGCAATCCTTTGACGTAAACTCCGCGCGCTTTCTCCTCGTGAACTGGTAGGTTGTCGTTTTGAGGCATGAGTAAATCACGAATCCGCTCCATGTAAATTTCCATATAGCTGACCCGTACGGTGTACTCGATGTTGCTCGGGCTAGTCAGGATGCTGGCAAAGATTTGCTCAATCATGCGAGGAATGATACCTTTCCCTATGTCATCATCGATGTCGGAACCCATCATCGTATATGATTTTCCGGCACCAGTCTGACCATAGGCAAAAACAGTTCCGTTATATCCATTGAGAATATCGTCCACGGTCGGTCGGATAGAGAAGTCGAAGATGTCATTTTGCGCGGTGTCCATAGGGAACACTCGGTCAAAGGTGAAGGCCCCTGTGCCCTCTCGGGACTAAAGGGTTTGTCAATATAGTCGTCATGGGTTTTAGCTTTAGTTTCGACTCACGTTGATGCTACACGACTCTTCATTCTCAAATTCGACGATAGGCTTACCCCCAGAGGCCAATTCGACTTTGTTTTGAGGACGAAACCTAGCAACCACTATATATGTATGTCAGTCTCAATCCCAGTAAAATGCGCCTTGTTTTGTTGTGCCAGTCTGTGCATACCCTTGATGGTGTTCGACCCCGCGGACCTGTGAAACCATATTAGTGATGGCCAACGCACGATGGGGTCGAATTTATACTCACGCCATATTTGTAGAGTGTGACTTGGCTATGACAAGCGCAAGCTAGAAGAGAGACCTCGAAAAGGGGTAAGTGAGCCTCTGAGTTCGTCGGAGGGGTTCAAATAGAAACTCGTCTGTTGCGGTGTGCAATGGCTCGGAGGAGGGGGTAGAGGACCAAGGGGTCCACGTGCACCGTGGACCAAGATACTCCAGGAATGGAGAGAAAGATAAAACAGCAGTCAGGCCGCAAAGAAAGGACGGCCAAACCAAGAAGACCTACAACGGAAATTTGCAGGGGAGGGGATTGACGCGAAAGAGTGGGATTTCAACTGTTGACAGTCACCCCGTTTGGGCTTACCGCCCCCGGACTCGGATATGCAACCACCCTGCAGATAAGCTTAATGTACAGGGAGCTATACATGGAAGCATGTTTTTGAACATCTCAATACTTGCATTCCCATTTATATTTTCTACAATGTATGTGCCAAGGGATCAAAGTACAAGGTTTGCAAGAAAGGAAGGCTTATGCACTAAAAACTATGAGACTGATCTTGTAAAACATACACTTGCGTGGCATGACTTGGGGAGGGATGAATAATCATGAACTAGAGATATCCAAAAAGAGATGAAAAAAGAGAGAGGAAAAAAAAGATGACGTCAAGTAAAAACGGGTGAGGCAAAGAATACACAACCTGAAAGAATAAGATACCAAGCGCCGGAAACCCCATGCTGTGCAGATCAAACGATCAAACCGCTGTGCTCACTCACAAGATTATCAGCCCTTAAAACTCGGCTGAGCGAGTTTGAAAGCTCAATTATCCTCCCAGCTTTTCTCGACCGTCTCTCGCACTCGCTTGGTGTACTCTTTGCGGTTGTCTTTGTAGAGATTCGAGGCCTCAACGTTGGCCGGAGATGATGTGTTAGGGTCGTTCAAAAGACTAGATATGGCAGGCCGCATGTTAGAATTTGAATGGTGATGTTTCATGACCAAACCCACCCTACCTCTGAATACTAGTAAGGATAGCCGCCACATCATATGTCGGACTCCAACGGTTCTGCAGAATGTCAAGGCAGAGCTCACCGGTCCCGTATACATTGGGATGGAACATTTGGCTTATGAATTTCACACCCGGTGGCTTGTTTGGGTATTGTTCTTCAAAATTCATGACCAGGCGGAATGTGCCATCTTCGAACGGTGTGTCGGCCGGGCCAATAATGACGGCATTCCTGACGTTTCATCAGAATCATTGTCAAGAGCCTCAAACATATTGCGGAAAGAACATACCAGGTCATGACATTATCAGCGACTGGAGATGCAGAGACGCCAGCTGGAGGATCAGTTTGCATGCGCTGTGAGCACAAAGTGTTAGCGGGGTGGATCATCTTGGACCGAAAAAACAAGGAAATTGAGCATCAAAGAAATATAGAAAAAGCTTTAGCTGAGGCTAGATACGGATACAATGGAAATTTTCAAATGACACAAGGTGCGGCGATGATATTATTGCGTACCTTGAAGTCCCGCATGAGACGACGGCGGGCGGATGTAGACATGATGGAACAATCGGGAGACGTAAAGCGATAATAACGGGGTTTAAAAGCAATGTGTATGTATCTAGGATTCGAAGCTTTGCAGAGACAATCAGGGCAGAAGGAAAAGAGAGGATGGGGGGGAGGCGAGGAAATCCGAAAGGTCAATGATACGGTAGGCGATGTGCAGCGAAGCGATGGAGGGGAAGATCGGAGGAAACATCCTAATGGAGAAACAAGCCCAAAGGGGCTAGGCTGCATTGTGATAGAGCGCTCCGGGGAGCTCTTGACTCAGCAATTATAATGTCGTAGCGGCGACCGCCTTGGGAGCCTCGGTTCAAGCGGAGTGGCGGTTATAGGCGGTTGGATGGGCGGATGCCCAGGTGAATTCCGATATGTGTACGGAGTACATTCAAGAGCAATCCTCAGCTTTTCTTTCTTAACTCTCCTCCCATAACCCTTCCATTCTTTCTTCTTGCCAATTTGCAACTCTTTCTTATCTCAGAGAAATCATGATTTGCACAGGCGTGTCTGCTCGTTTCCCCAAGCGGGCCTTCCCCGCATTCCGCACCCAGCGACAGTTCAGCTGTGCACGCCCGGCATGTCAGGAGATTCAGGAAGCTTACATTTTGAGTGCATCTCGAACACCAACAGCAAAGGTTTGTGCACTCGAAGAGATGTTTTGATGCTCAATTCACTAAACTCTGATTGCTCAGTTCAATGGTTCTTTTGCTTCCGTGTCAGCACCAGAGCTTGGCGCTGTTGCAATCAAATCCGCCTTAAGTAAATCCAAGGTCCCTGTTGAGAAGATTACGGATGTATATATGGGAAATGTTCTGCAGGGTTCAGTAGGCCAGGCGCCTGCCCGTCAGGCATCGATTTTTGCCGGTCTCCCTTCCACCGTCGAAGCTACGACAATCAACAAAGTCTGCGCTTCTGGCTTGAAGGCTGTGGCACTTGCTGCACAAAACATTCAACTAGGCTTGGCAGAGGCACAGGTGGCTGGTGGCATGGAGAACATGACTCGTGTCCCTTATTATATGGCACGTGCCAGCCAACTGCCCCCCTTTGGTGATATCAAGCTAGAGGATGGTCTCATCAAGGATGGTCTATGGGATGTTTACAACAAGTTTCATATGGGCATCTGTGCAGAACATACCGCGAAGAAGTATGGCATCTCGCGGGAGGACCAGGATTTATATGCTATCCAGTCCTATGAGCGGGCCCAGCAGGCATGGAAGGAGAGCAAGTTCGCTGATGAATTAGCTGGAGTTACCGTGAAAGGTAAAAAGGGGGATACCATAATCGAGCGGGATGAGGGCTTCGAGAACTTGCGGGCCGACAAGTTGAAGAGCTTGGACCCCGCCTTCCTACGAGATGGGACTGGTACTGTAACCGCTGGTAACGCATCTACCATGAATGACGGAGCGTCTGCTTTAATTTTGGGCAGCAAGGATATTGCTCGCGAATATGGCATTGGCAGCCGTGTCTTGGCCCGTATCGTTTCTACAGCCGATGCCGCAATCGACCCTGTGGACTTCCCAGTGGCCCCTGCCAAAGCAGTTCCAATTGCACTGGAGCGTGCCGGTATCACCAAGGACCAGGTGGCGGTATGGGAGTTCAACGAGGCTTTTGCGGCTGTTATCAAAGCCAACGAAAAGGTTAGTGCTGTGTTTGTCTAAACTCCACATCAGATCTAACTTATTTAGATTCTTGGTTTACAAAATGCCAAAGTGAACATGCTTGGAGGCGCCATCTCTCTCGGGCACGCTCTCGGTAGCTCAGGCTCGCGTATCCTCGTCACCTTGCTCCACCAGTTGCAGCCCGGCGAGTATGGGGTGGCTGCGATCTGCAACGGCGGCGGTGCTGCGACCGCGATGGTTGTGCAGAGATTAGATCGTGTGAACTGATTTCGGCAAAAATTGTGCAGTGCCTTCGCTGACAAGTTATGACTGATACCCTAAAATGAACAATCCAAGCTTGGATATCATCCCGTGTAGCGAGAACGTGTACTTTTCCTGCGATTTGGAATACTAGCAGATTGGCCCAAATCTGGCCACAATTCAATTCAATTGCCTTGTACTTTTGGGGTGCTTTTAAATACAATCTCTTCGCCTATTTCCTTCCGAGCCTTTCCAAGTAGATGCACACCATGCATCACTCTCTCACTCTCTTTTCTCCTCTTCCTCTTTTAGGTGTTTTCAATATCTCCATAAACCCACTGGTCTATCATTCCTCCCCTTTGATCGTTGTCTTCAGTATCTTCTATATTGTTAATTGCCATTTTCCAATTTTGAAGTGATCCTTGAAGTTCTCAAGATCTATGGTTGTTGGCGCCTGATTCCTCAGGAATCAACTTTGCAGAATGCGACCCAAACAAAAGCAGATCTCTGGTTTCTCTTCCTCATATCTTCATGTTCTACCTCGCAAGCCCTTTATTTACCAGGAATGCCGGCACAGAAAAGATTTGATATCTGACAACATGTTGAACCCTGTGGCCCTGTCATTATCTCCATCTTGTCATGATGCCATCTCTTGGTCCTCGGACGGCGAGCTTGCTATCGCTGCGGGTGAATACTTCCAAATCCTGGTATGCTTATAGTTAGTTATCTAATGTGCCTGAACATAACTAACGTTTTTTTACAGACGCCAAAAAACAGCAGGGATGGTGATTCTGCCCCCAACTCAACCCAAGATTGGCTCATGACTCGTGTTAGAGCGAACTTATTTACGAACTCTGAATGGCCAAACTACCTTCCGGGAAATCGAGATGATTTTTCAGTCGCCGCAGACCTTTCAGAAAGCAATGTCGTCGGTCTGGCTTGGTCACCAGCAGGACTAGGCAAATATCGGCGTAGTGTCCTAGCTGTGCTGACGTCGAATCTAGTATTGTCCCTCTGGGAGCCCATTGGCCTTAAGAAGCAATGGACTAGGGTTGCTGTCGCCAATCATGTGTTTTGGTCACAGCTACAGCTATCACAGGATCCAAATAGCCATGCCTTCCGCAAGGTTAACATTCGATCTTTCACCTGGTGCGAGTCATTAAAGCCCTCAACGCCTACCGCGGGCTCTTCCTTTCTACATTCCCACGAAAGTCGCTGGGGAATCCCACTCCTAACGGTGGTGAATGATTTTAATGAAGTCATGCTGGTGCAAGTCCGCAGGTCAGACCCAATAAACAGCCCTTCCAAGCCTTATGATCTTCAGATTTTGGCGCTTCACTCTCTCACGAATTTGGAAACAAAGGATAGTCCGCTCTGCTCTGGATCACTCTTTGAGACGGCAATCCAAGAGAGACAACGCACTACTGCGCTCGCCTGTGGTCCGTGGCAGACTTCATTCGCGACCAGCCCAGGCAACTTTGGATGCGCAGTCGCCATGATAGCTGCGGTATGCGGAACACAGCTTCGGCTAATGAAACTTCAAGTCGCTCTCGGAAGCTCGCTCGGGGAGACCTCACAACAGTACAAGCTAGTCACAGATTTGATAGAACATCCTTTGGATCAGTCGAATGAGAAATGGGCATATCACAACATCGCTGGTCCTCTTAGATGGCTACATGCCGTACGCTATATCTCTTAAATCCGTGTTAGGATGGGCTGCTTCGCTAATAAAAACCTAACAGAGATTATCCACAACCATTGCTCTGGCAGTGGGCGCCATGGCAGGTTTCATCACCATATCCATGCCTATCACTACGTACACTGGTAGCGGTGCCAACTCGGATGTCTTCGAGTTCCGTGATTACCCGATCTATGAGCCAGAAACCGAGGACAACAAAGGCCACCAAGCAAGGCACCTGGAGCCGATTTTTGGTATGTTATGCAAACCATACAAGGCCATCTTAGCACTGCTGACCTGCCATAGCAATGCTCACTTCCGTGAATGAACATAGCGACATATGCAAGCTCCACCTAGGTACACTTGGTGGTATTGGCTTAGTTACAGAACTTCACCAACTCCAAAATGACAGCGCTATGCAACAGCCAAAATGGAAACGCATGATTGAAGAGTTCCAGGATGATTATGACTTGGAGCACGACTTGGGAGGAATGTCAGTCTCGAGGATCTGGGGACTCGCAGCCTATCGCAACATGACTGCGGCTATCTTCACTTCGCATCCCACGGACATGATCGAGTATCGCATCACTTCTGACGACAGGTCTATGATTGTCTTTTCAGAGGAAGGTGAACCCACGACGAACACTCAAGCCCTATTCGCAACGCACATACCCGATGGTCAAACCTCCGACCACAACCAGACGGAAGAAGTGATACGTTTCGTTCTACCTGGTGAAGATGGTAATATTGAACCTGACACGGAGAGTCAACGACTGATTTATGCCGTTGCCTGTCGTGCCATTGTGGGCGAAGAGGACAAGTCGCTCAGACTTCACACTCGGCGGTCTCTAGAGCGTCTAGCGTTTGTGACAGGCGCAGATCTGAGCGATGAGATTTCCAAATGTAACAGCATTCCCACTCCGATATTTGCGAGGAACATGGATCAAGTTACTGGCCCAGGGGGTCACATTTACGAGAAGTGCGAAATTTGCGATGCGGGAATTGGGTGGCCCTCGGCCCAGTTGGCTCAGTGCGCCAATGGCCATCTTTGGGGTAAGTCACATTACAATTCAAATTTTATATTAACATGCTGACCTTTTAAATTCATAAAGAACGATGTGGGTTGTCCTTCCTTGCCATTCAAGAACCCGGGATGTCCAAGTACTGTTTTGCCTGTCGAAAAGAAGCCCTCGATGAAGAACGCGTGGCGTGCATGCGTGGGGGAAAACAAGGTCGAACATTCGATGCTCTGTTTGAGACTTTTGATGTCTGCTTGTACTGCGCAGCCAAATTCCAGGCCAGTTACTAGAAGTCCTCGAGTAAAATGTGCAATGACTCCTTGATGGCCAGCGGCTGCAAAAAGCACGTGGTATTTGCATGAAATGTAATATGACAATGCCACGTAATTTGTTCCAACGGAGAATCACATCTCATGTTATTACATGGAGCTATCTATGTCAACCCAATAAGGGATCCCGCAATAGGATCCCATTCATCATCCCATCGCAGAGAGCTTTCTTTTTGGGCACCTAGGCGAAGACTCTCTAATTTGTCATTCTCGCCGAACAGGTCGACCAAGTGCTCGGCCAACTCCTCTGAACTTCCAAAGCCCAGCCCATTGACGCCCTCAGTAACCAACTCGGGCCATGCCTCGAAACGATCCCATCCCACAACAGGGAGACCTGCCCCAAACATATCTACAACCTTCATAGGAAGATCCACCCCACTGCTGCTAGTATGTAGACTGACCCCTAGAGATGCGGATGCCAATAACCGAGCATAATCTGGTACAGTCAGCCACGCAGTTCGAATTGTGACTTTCTGTAGCTTGCTAGACTTTTCAAGAGCTGCAATCTGTTCCAAATACATTTCTTTTCGCGGGCCCTTTCCCGTTATGATGGCCAAAACCTCAGGGAGGTGAGCCTGCACTGTGGTAGCCAATTCAGAGTAGCGAAGAAGGGCATCGATAAGAACCGAGAAATCCTCATCTGCAGTCCATGACGTTGAACTGACCAGAACCCGGAGAGACCCTGCTTTCAAAGATGACTGAAAATCTTTAGTTTCCGGTAGGGTTATGAGGGAATCCATCCGTGCATTGGGATCGAGGATAGGATGGAAGTGACTGGCAGGGCGGTCATGCAGTGGCAGGATAGGGGCTGTAAGGTTGAAATCTCTCTTGAGAACGGACGCCATAGCATTGGTGACGCACAAATGAGCCGAAGCAGATTTGCAAAACACTTTCTCATACCATGTCGACATTTTCACCAATGGATGGGTTTGGCCAAGTTTCAGCGCAAGTATGGAATACCCAAAATTATGCCAATCAACGATTAGCCTTGTTTGCCGCAAGAAACAAACAAGAGAGGCCACAGCCAGCGTAGGAATGGAAGGCGGGTTCTTTTTATTGTCGCGAGAGACTGTCAGCACTTCGAATGAGTATCGAGGGACCTTCTTTTCACAAACATACCTGAACCAAAAGCCACCGAGACGGTTTTGTATTATATGCGAGACACTTCCAGAGACAGAAAATTTGAAACAAGACTTTCAAGGGCCCGTAAATTATAAATAGCAGCTTATGACTAGTCTGTAGGAGAGCGGGATGCGGGCGAAGCGGAACAATCGAGATGTTGGGGTTAGATATGATGTCAGGGTGAAGATCAGATTCTGTTTGGTAAAAGAAAGTTAGTGATCCTATCTGATAATCTCTGTGAAGACATTCACACTAACCATTATACCCAATAATCGTCACTTCCCCGCCACGTTTCGCAATGCTCAATGCATGATACTGCATGCGTGGGCTTCGGCCAATATCGCCAAGAACAAGGATTTGAACACATATCTTGCGCCTTTTGGTCTCATGGGAGCTTGAAGGAAATACTGCTCGTTCTGGATGATATTGCGAAGGGAGTGACAGTATCAACACAGTGAGGGCGCTAGACAGGCAGAACACTATGCTGACGAGGATCTCGATCATGATGGCAATGGTACTTTAAGTATTTGACTCATGGTATTTACCAACTGTCAACAACATCAATGGCCAATGAGGGGTTCAACAGCAGTTGGGTTAGTTCAAGGTGGAACATCAACAGCACGTCAAAATGGTTGATACGTAATCTGATAAGGATTCACGTGACTCTCCTTTCGAGAACCTTGGGGATGACGGGCTTTCCCCGGAGACAGTGGCAATCTGTTTGAGCCTGTACTAGCGCTCACTTTTCCCAATCATATCAATTTCCTTTCTAGCCCTTCAGGGCTATTCCGTAATGCTGTATCTGCTGACAACCTGCCCGCTGATCTGAGCTCTCACCCGCTCCACCCTCGATATCTTGGCAGTGCCCCATCTCCTATCTTGTTTGCTGGTCTTTGCAGCTGGGCGCATCGTCAGCATCTGAAGACCATGTCAACGGTGGCACCGTCGCTGAGCGTGGACCTCGCACCACGCTCCAATGGACACAACCATAGCCATGGTCATAGTCGCAGCCATGGCCACTCTCGATCTAACCACTGGGCGCAACCTCCACCTCCCCTCTCACAGCAAGACAATGCCAACCTTCCTGAACACCCCGAACCAATCAATGCTGTCAAATCAAGTTATTCATATGGACATACACATCAAGCATCAAGCAACGATCACCATACGCACTCGCACCACTCTAGTGCATACCACAATCATAACCATAGTGTGTCATCTCTTCACCATGATGTGCTAGATGACCACCATTTAAAAGATCCCAATGGTCTTTACGGAATCCTATCTACAGATACCACTATACACGATGATTACAATAAAGAGAAAATGTATGTGGGCTAGAATGTGATTGGCGAGTAATAGCTGACCCCAGTCACAGCCACGAGGTTTTGACTAGTACACTCATCGTGCTGCCGTGGGTTGTGCTTTCTTGGTACCAGAGAAAATGCTCCCAAATACAAGAGCTATCCAGTGAAGCTATACCTGGTACGACAGCGAGTATGTCTATCGGACAAGTTGGTCAAAAGACCTGCCTTTTAACAGCGACCACCCTTATCCTCTTCGGCTGTGGTCAAATACTACGGATCAACTACCAAAAGGCTGGCTCTTCCACAAATTTGTCCGTTAATTTGCCGAAATTGAATGTCAAAAGCGTCCAAGCCTTACTTTCGCAAATTGTCTCTGTGGCATTGCCAATATTTGCAGCACTCAAGGTCGGAGGTTTTTTGGTTGCGCTTTCACTGCTCCTTGCGATAGCATCGCGGGTCCCAGCTATCATGATTGGGGCCTCGCGCACTCAGGAGAAATACAGTCGCAAGGTCCTATCCATTGCCCTACTATTGGTGGTCATTACGTCGAGCATCCTCGGGCTAAACCATCCTTGGGATATTTCCCCGGTCAGTGGATATGCTGCCCTATTGGCATCTGTGTTTATTGCCCCACCCCCATTCCCTTCGCTCCGTCGCAATGGAACTATTCCTGAGCCAGGTCTTGTTGCTGCACAAAGCAAAGCTTCACACTCGGGTCACTCGTCCGTTACGGTCACAACTGACGCACCATTGGCCGTGATAGCCGGGTCCTCCCTTGCACTTCTCACCATGCTTTTCAACCGAGGGTTTGTCTTCAGTGTCTTGGAGCTGATGTATCTTCTTATACCTATGGGTATTTTTGCCGTTTCTCTCATGATTCCCCTGTCCCCGAGTCTCCGCTCTCCCAAAAAGATCGGACTCGCCATTTGCGCTGCAGCCGCAGCTTTTCTTTGTTCCCCACATGCTCAGGATGACTTGCTCATGGTTTATGCCATACGTGGTATCTTGGCTACGGCCTCTTTCTTCGCCTCTAGAAGGGATGATATTCATCAGCATATGGATGCGCATGCGCATAACCACACGCACAGCCATTCACATTCACACACTACCTTGGAATCCTCCCGGGTATCAAAGTGGCTTCTCCATAAAAGTGAACCATATCCGTTACTGCACAGCATTCTCAAGGAGAAGGACTCTCGTAGCATCTTCTACTTTATGTGGTGAGTTTCAAAATCTAAAGGCTGTCACTCTTAAATTACAGCTAATTTTTTGCAGCCTGAATTTCACTTTTATGCTTATTCAACTATCATATGGGTTCCTGACTGGATCACTGGGGCTGCTTAGTGACAGTATCCACATGTTTTTTGATTGTCTTGCGCTTGTTGTTGGTTTATGTGCCGCTGTCATGAGCAAGTGGCCCCCAAATGCTCGATTCCCCTACGGCTATGGAAAAGTTGATACTTTGTCAGGGTTTGCCAATGGGATTTTCCTCATGTGAGTGTTGTTGTGAACGCGGTGCGTAAGGTCAAATCCTAACAATGTGCAGGATTATCAGCGTGGAGATCATTTACGAAGCGGTGGAACGGCTCTCATCGGGGAGTGAGATGCATCGTCTAGGTGAGCTATTGATCGTCAGCATTGCTGGCCTGGCAGTCAACTTGGTCGGAATCTTCAGCTTCGAGCATGGGCATGCTCATCACGGCCATGACCATGGCCACGATCATTCTCATGGCAATGAGAACATGCACGGCATTTTCTTGCACATTCTTGCCGACACACTTGGTTCAGTGGCAGTTGTCATCTCAACCATTCTCGTGCACTACTCCGGCTGGGCCGGTTACGACCCTTTGGCATCATGCTTCATCGCCATCTTGATCTTCGCCTCGGCCGTTCCTTTGGTTTGCAGTACGGCCAAGACACTCCTACTCACTCTGCCAGCCGACACCGAATATAATCTCCGGGAAACACTAGCAGGAGTCAGCACTTTGCGAGGCGTGGTTAGTTATACGGCGCCTAAATTCTGGCTTGATGATACAGGAGCGGTGTCTTCCGGGCATAGTCATTCACATGATCATTCCAGCCATGAGGATTGTGAGAATCACCATGATCATAGCCATAGCCACAGCCAACATCATTATCATCATCATCATCATGGTCATGATCATGAGCAGCACCACGGCCACGAACATACACACGAGAAAAAAGCCCAGAACATTTTCGGGGTGATCCACGTGATCGCTTCTCGCGGTGCAGATTTGGAAGACGTTCGTCAACGAACTGTCGACTTTCTTCGAGAGAAAAATACGGATACTCTCGTCCAGATTGAGCGTGACGGAGATGTACGCTGCTGGTGTAGCGGTGGAAGCAAGGGCTTCTGATTGGTGACAACTGTTTCGCCCATTATCAACTACTCTCGAAGGGAGAAGCCAAGATTCTTTGGCGCACTTAATATCGCTTTGCCCCGGCCGATGTCTATAATCTTTCATGTACAGATAGGATTGGATCGTATTACACCAATCAACAGCACATAGGTTTCTCCACGGCGTTCATCGGAAGTGGAAGGCATATACTTCAATGATTCAATTACGAAACCTAGTTCTTCATCGCATCATATGTAGGCGGAATCTCTCTTGGAATCTTTTCAGGACGAGGACTTGTACGACCCGTTAATCAGCTGTGGGCTGTTCCGAATGGATGCACTTGCTCCGAGCATGCCATTTTTCTGGCAAATGGAATGCAGCTATAGCTGTGCCCCTTGGGCCAGATCTTGAGGAATTGCGACGCAATTCTTCTTCATGTCACACAATCACATTGAACCTCGGCAGCAAATGGCGCGAAAGCACAGATCTGCCTCCAGGGCCATTGTGTTATTCTAATTAAGACCGAAACCCCCGTTCCATATCCCAGGAGGTTGCCACCCTTGTCGGCCAAACCAGGGCCGATGGCCACACCATCGGGCTGCGGCTCCAGAGAAAGAAACCCCAGCATTCAAGACTGTACAAATGTAAGAGTTACATCAAGTCCTGTCCTACCAGTTAGTCGAGTTCCAGGTTTGAATAAAAGATGCTACGGCATTCTAATTACCTTCCGACATTATCGCAACTCCAGCCATTCCCTTGTGTCATTATTTTACAGATACTTCTATAGAGACATTAGCAACACTCTACACCCGGATCTCTCACCCAGTCTATTCAATGTCATCAGCTTCCACCGCAGAAATATCACATGCCGACGAAGTCGTGCGAGCAGGATATGGAAAGATATTCGAGGGCCATACAGTCTTCCTCACTGGAGGGACTGGGTGCTTAGGAGGTTGTCTCCTGTACAAGTTGGCTTTACAATTGCCCACTCGCAAGATCTTCGTCTTGGTTCGAGGGGACTCCTCGCAGGCAGTTGGAAAATTGAGAGAATCGATGCCAAATCATGCACAGGCTATTTTAGCCACAAGGAAAGTCGACTTTGTGATTGGTGATATGAAAATGGTCGATTTTGGTATTGAGCCCGATGTCCTCGCGCAACTTCAAGATCAAGTGACACTGGTCATTCACGCAGCAGCCAAGATCAAGCTTGAAGGTCCTATTCGTGATGCTCTAGAAAGCAATTGCCTCCCTGCGTTAGAAATGGCACGGATCGCCTCTGGATTCCGGCGACTGAAACTCCTCATCCAGATCTCTACGTCATATGTCAATAGCCATCTTCCCGATGGTTCAGTTTTAGAGCGGATTTATCAATTGGGAGGCGAAGAAGATCCAGAAGAAGAGCTGGCATCCATTTTGACGCTGGGGACATCACCACACGCGGGCAAATTCTCGTCTACCTACACCCAAGCCAAGCATCTTATGGAGCGTCTGCTGCTCAACCGCTTCCCTCTTCTTCCGATTCTACTATTACGGCCAACAATCTTCGGACCTGCGCTCAGACATCCCTACCCGCTATATGGATCGGAGGACTCCACGCCTCTCACCAAGTTTACTAGGCTTTGGTTCTCTGATCGGGGTGCCACACAAGTTTGGCATGCCACCGAAGGATATCAAACAGGCACCAACATCCTGGACGAGATCCCCGTGGACCTTGTAGCAAGTGCATGTCTATTGCACGCAGCAGCACGGACGACGGGCATTGTCCAGGTTGGCTCCCAGCTTTATCACCCGATTACCTTTGATGATGTCTTTCGACTGGGCCTAGAAAATGCCACGCCTGCAGTCCAGCGGGAGTTTCCAAAGATCATCTTCACCCAAGATCGCAGCAGACCGCAGTGCTTTCTTGCTGAGTTGATTCAAGTAGGAACTCGGAACTGGTTGTTTGATTGTGGGAGATCTTACTGGCTCAAACAGGTGAGTGGACCACTGAGCATTCAGGTGTGTAAGCATGAGGTAGATGCTCTGAATTTGACACGGACCCATGATGTCCTCGGGACTGGAAGGGAGAGAGCTCGGATTTAAAAATGGGGGTTCGGGGGGAAATGGAGGTTGCAGACCGGTCACCAGACTTGTCACTCTGGTTCTTTTTGAGATACATGAGACGTTGGGACCAATATGGTTCCCCCAAGATACCTCCTTCTTATAGTCCCCACTACGCCTATCGTGGCGCGTACTCAATCACTCTTTATTGGATTTATCCTTGCGACGAAATTTCCCGCTTGGAAGCACTAGTTGATTCAAATAAGCCAAGTTTACTGCAACGGACTGGGCCAGTGCCTCAATAACGCAGGTCCAATGATTTTTTGCTCGTAGCCAGGATGAGAAATAACCAAAGGAAATTGAACAAAGGTTAGCCAGAGGCTTTACATCTACTTTTCTGAGTTCTGTAAGCTCCACATAGCAAAACAACTCCCTCGTTTGCGTACAATCTCGGCATTTGTTCCAGATTCAATGGCCACATCGTCCTATAGAAAGTAGACAAGGTCCGCACTCTATAGAGCACTGTTAGAAGTCACATGACTTCTTTGTTTACTCCTACGTTGTCAGAACACCAGGTGCAATACATGGTGGAAACCACATGTGACCTCGGTGGACTCGGCTATCCCACAACGAAAGTACGAAGATTCGTAATCCAGATCCCACACAGATTGCATAAATAGGGATTTTCGTCATTCTTAGATATTTTAGAGAATTTTGATACCTGTCATTTCAACCAATACATTTCATACAGTCAGATTTCTGTCAATTTCTAACAGAGAGAAACCGGTGGTTGCCAAGAATAATGTCTTTTTTAGTAATGAAATTGTAGTAATTTACCGTAGTTTATCAAAGTACACTGGTTGGTGTGATCTGGGCGGACCGCTATCCTAATCTGGACTAGTGCACTCCAGGTGGGGCTCTGGCAAATAGAGCGAGAGAGTGTGGAGTTAACACTGATTTCGAACATCGTATTTTCAGCTTTCTTAAATATCTTCACCCAAGGTATTCCATCTGTGAATGCACGAAGGGTTTTAATGGAAATAGGCATCTAGCAACGTTATATTTTTGGATCGCCCGAAGTCACTGCTGTATCTTACATTGTGATGAAGTATTGCTAGAATATCACCGACTGAATGTTCAAAAAAACTTCGTTTACCTGAATCTCAATAGGAACATTTCAAATCTTATATTCCTAAACACATGGCCAAAGAATGCCTGGGCGCTTAGGATGGGATAAAAAAAAAAGATGGTGTTTAACTTTAAAAGTTGGTGCTAATTACAGCCCACGCGCTTTCTAGATATTGCGTCACATTGAAGGCCAATCAAAATAGCTCCCTTACCGTTCAGGGCTCAGACGTAAAACAGACCAGGTCAGAGGGGAGATCTAGATGCATGGTGGGGAGTCAATGCTGATCGAAGTTATTCAGGCTTGGACAGCGGCCGTCGATGGTAGGAACAACCTCAACGATGAGCCCACACAACGAAAACGACGCATTTTTGCGACATCTAATCAATACACCAGAAACAAATATTGCTGATGGATCACTACGGTACTGCATCCTCAATACTCCAACGCATTTTTCAATTGAATACGAATAACCCTTAGACCCAATATCCTCCGCAATTAGTTGCTGACCGTTCAAAGCGTCACCGGAATGACCAACATCAAAAAAGTGATACGCTAAGTCGATTCCATCACATTGTAGGCCCTTTCATGTCCGTCACATGCAGCCATCCCTGTAAATATGGTTGCATTCGTTTTCTTGTTCTACTATTATAAATTAATTGCAGTCGGCTTATGTGACATATAAGCGCCAAGACATTCAGCGGCTACACCTAGCCTCCGGCGCAAATGATTCTGAACCGTTCTCAACCAGACAAGGAGCAATGAACATTGACATGGGACGTCGTGCACTTTCAGCTTGTTGTTTTCAACCACGAATACTTGCCCTCCTCGTTTCGCCACTACCGCGGTTACAATCAACGACCACTACCCTTCCGTTTCGCGTCGTTCGCACGATCACGAGTCTCTCTGAGCAAATGACAACGCTAAATCCTGATCACGAGCACTTCTTCCGTTATACGAGTGGACGATGGCTCTGGGATGAAGAACAACAGCTCAGGGATAGGTATAAGGCCTTTGACGTTGCTGGGCTCCAAAGCCTCGCGGCCAAAGCCGTTCGATCAGACAGCTGCATCTCTATAACGAAGCTGGCCGAGGGAGGATATAATAAGGTCTTCCGTTTGATCATGAATGATGGAAAAAGAGTCCTTGCTCGTATACCAAACCCAAATGCCGGTCCAGCGTTCTATACGACCGCATCTGAAGTCGCTACTATGGAGCTTGTAAGTTTACCTTAAACCAGTTAATCGCAAGGGCGGCTAGCTCACTTAACCTAGGCTCGAGATTTCCTTCAAATTCCCGTGCCTCGAGTCTTTGATTGGAGTGCCACATCAAATAATGCCGTTGGCTCGGAATATACTATTTTGGAAGAAGTATCTGGCAGATTTCAGCAATTTGGGCTCCAAATCCATTGACGATCTGATTTTGAAAATCTTGTCAGAGTCCCATTTTTTTCTGGGGCCAAGCCACAGCGTTAGCCCATTCCATGTCTCCGGGATGTAGTGCATCCAATAATTCGGTTACCAATGCCCGGCCCGAGTCTCGAGCCCACCAATGTTGACCATCAAGCTCCCCGAGCAACACGCCCCAATGCATGAGGATCAACAATGCTAAAGGCTGTCGGCGTCGCACATTGTCCACAAATTCCTTGTCGATCATAGCGAGCCAAGCCAGGACGTTGGCAGCGTCAACGAAATTGGCAACTTTGTTTGAGAAGTGCCGTAGGTAGACAATAGCATCTTTGTTGACCTGATGCTGATCGGGACCGATGCTGGCGATGGTTCTGTCATTCAAGGCGTCGAGTCGCTCCAGGGCATCCCGCGTGTCGCTATCTAGGCTGACTGATCCAGTATCCCAAAAGTTTCTTCGACGAGAAAAGAGCTCTAATTTGCTCCAAGATTCACCAATCCGGTGGATTTTCTTCACACCTTGCAAGAGTTCAAATACGACAACAATGTTCTCCGTTAGGCTTGAGCTTTCTCCACGAGCAGCAGTAACTCTTGGCAGAGCAATGCCTATAACGGTGGTGATAATGGACTGCGCCAGCGCAGCCTCGCAGTTTAGTGGGTTGATGCTGTCAACAGCTGCGCGATAGGGCGCAAATGTGAGATTGTGATATTGCAAAGCGGTGTCAATGTAGACTAGCGATGCCGGCGACTCAATTGTTGCGGCAATGTGAAGTGCCCCCAGGGCCAAAATGCCATTCATTAAGAAATCATGCTGAAGAGCCAGGCGAGGAATGGCAATTTGCCAGACAAAATGCTCCGAGTCAGAAGAGCAAAGACTTTTGAAAGTTTCGGTGGAAAACTTATGCATAAGCTCCAAATCTCGCACCCCTGAAATGGGTGGAGAAAAGGAAGCTGCTAGGCTAGGAATCCTCGGCCGCACGGAAGTTGGGTCTAGAATAGCCAACTGGCCAGGGGATTGGCTTACTCGTGAATCGGGCCGGGATGGCGCTCTGAAATATGTGCATGAGAGTTCCCGCGATATACAATTGGAGCACGGTGGCCCTTTCTCGTCACACTGCAGTTGTCAGTCTCGTCATTTGATGGAGCCCAAAGCGAACTATGGGGGCCATCCCGAGTTTCCATCACTAACCTTGACGCGACGTCTCTTGCACTGGTCGCAGCCTTGGCGAGATTTTGTATGCGCTCGGCGAGGAGGCATCTCAGAAACCTCGATACCTGAGGGTCCATGTAACCGATTGGCTCAGATCCTTTAAGATGTGGAAGAGTCCAAAGCGCGGGAGAGAAGAAGATGATGCGGAAGGGTCACGTGGACTGGAACTATAAAAAAAAAGGGTAATGTCTTGATTCCTCTCTTCTGTGTGTTTTAGTTCTTTTTAAACATGTTCAGTCTTCTGTTCAATTGTCAGATTGATCTCATTTGATACGTGATAGTTCAAAAAGCTGTCGCTGTCTATAACAACCAATGCTCCGTACGCAAGTAGGCATCAGTCTTTGGCTGATCACATGTGTGAATAGAGCCCTAGAGAGGGCATGAACTCAATCCTGGTCGACAATTTAAAGAAATCGATGGATTCGAGACAGAGAAATTGATCATTTAACGATCTTCCAAAAGATCCTGAACCAAAAGGAGTAATTCTCCGACAGGATCAAAGCGCCTTGTCGAAAAGCAAGTGGATCCGATGTAAGCGACGTGGGGACAACGAGAACGAGAACGAGAACGGGCAAGAACGACAATAACCAATAGCAGTTTGGAGTCTTTATCTTGTTGAGTTTAATACAGAGCTCCACCTACTAGAACTGTTGTTGCGGTCCTTTCGTATTCACCGCGGAAGATGATGATTTTATGATTTGATATCAAATCCTCCGGGGTTTTCTGGGCTGAGTTATGAGAGACTATAGACCCTTTTTTTTTTCTTTTAGTCTTATTATCTCACTCCTAGGTCTAACACCCTCTCCCCCAGCTTTCTTTCCTTATAAATACAAGTCTCTCACTAAATATGGCGAGCTATGCTACTTGCTCTGAAGTAGGCCCCCTCTGTCCTGTTGAACTCACAACATACGGTTATTACCCCAGTTTCGGCGGAAACATCTTCTTGACCGTCTTATTTGGCCTGCTCGGAATATGCCAAACCGGTCTCGGCGTCTACTTTCGAACATGGACATTCTTGACGGCTCTCCTCATTGGCACATTTATGGAAATGGCTGGATACATTGGCCGAGTGCTCATGCATAATAACCCATGGTCTGGATCTGCTTTCAAGCTTCAGATTGTGTGTCTGGTGCTCGCGCCGACCTTCGTTGCGGCGGGTATTTACCTAACATTGAAGCATATCATTCTGAGCTTAGGACCCGAATACTCAATCTTGAAGCCACGTCTGTTCACCTGGGTCTTCATCGGATGCGATATTGGATCTCTCCTTTTGCAGGCTGCAGGGGGTGGTGTCGCTGCGGCTGCTGGCAATGACGACTTTTCAATGCTCAAGACAGGTGACAACATCATCATCGCTGGTATCGCCTTCCAGGTTGCAACCATGGTTGTGTGTGGATTTTTTGCGGTGGTCTTCTTCTGGAGGATCTTCAACCATGGCGATGGGTTTTCCAGTGAGAAGAGCCGTGATGTGTCACCAACTGTTCTCAGGTGGATGCCGTTAGTCGTGGGTGCCGAGGTCATTGCCTACATCACAGTCTTGATTCGGTGCATTTACCGGTATGAGCCAATGTTCCGAGGCCAAAATAAGGCACTTTGCTGACCACGATAGCTAGTATCCCGGAGATGGCTGGTGGCTGGGGAAACCCACTGATGCAGAAGGAGAACGAGTTCCTTGTCTTGGATGGAATGTAAGTGGTCTCTTGGTTCGTTTCAAAACTCTTGGAAATCACGTCTGACGCTTTAATAAGGATGATTGCTCTGGCTTGTCTAACCTTCACCATCTTCCATCCCGGAATCTTCCTCCCTTCTCTGCGATTCGTGCCCGAGAACCGCACATAGTCGCTTTGGTTCCTCTTGTTGCGTGTCCTCTTGGTTTTCTTTTGGGTTCTGTCTTTCCAGTAGTTTTGCTATGCCAATGTGGATTCTGCTTAATCAGGTAATCATGAATGAATATCCAAGAATCAATGACCACTCTGCTTTGGTGATGATATTTACGTTGAAAATCCTGAATTTCTGCCAAAAAAAGAGTGATGATTCCAAATCAGTGAAACAAAAATTTCGGGGTGAAACTCCAGCCGTCATGAAAAATCGCAAAGAAATGCACCGCAAAGGGACATGAGATCGAGCGCATGGCAAAGCATTGCTCACTCTATGCAAAGAAGAGAACCACCGCTCGCCGCGGTACATTGAACAAGGAAGAGAAAAAAAAAAGGAACCCCGGCAGCCCCATGTTAAATCAGATCGTAGCCCGCCATCTTAAATTGCCGTGAAATGTTAAATCGTGCACTAGTCGTCCAACGTGAGACGGACACACCGACGGACGCGCTTCTTAAACTCCGCAGGGTCCTCTCGCCATAGTCGAGCAGCTTCCACATTCGCTGGACTTTCATCGTTCGGGCTAGAAAGCATAGAAATGACAGACAGTAGGATAGTCTCGGGGGTTTGCACAGGAGACCAGCGTTCTGCAGCCGACTCATACCCGTATTTATCCTCCTCAGGTGGGTGCAGAATCGAAATGCAAACATCACCATTCTCGTAAACTGTCCAGGCGCAGTGACTTGTAAGTAATTTGTCTTTGACAACTGGTTCAACCGGAGCCACATACTATTTGGATGGAAGATAGGAGATTCGAACTTCATCTTTGGCGGCCGATGAGGGTATTCTGTTGGGAAAGAGAGTCGAGCCCGGAAGAAACCACCTAGATAAGCAAACTTGTCAGTTTTCTTCAACAAACTTGTGGCAGGATAACATGTCTTCCCAGGCGGCGTTGTGATCGCCACGGCACCAGCCCCGGAATTCGACTTCAAATCCAGATATAACCAAATAGTGACACACCTCCATACAGCTTCACATCGTCCGATATCATGAGCATAACCTCCCATTCGAAAACGTTGTTATCAACCAAGCCACAACTAATGCCGGGGATGTCCTTATCAGACTGCATCTGCTGCAGTTGGCGGGACAGCATGCGCCCAGCGGGAGAGGTCGCCATGCTAATGGTTGGGGAAGAAAAAGCAGACAAATGGAGATGTGGATTTCGGATGATATCCGAAGCCGACTTCAATGTCAAAAGGGGAGGGCAAAGAGCAGAAGGTGAGGGGCGTAAAAAGAAATAAAAGCGGTAAGGCCAAAGCGGGGTTTTAAATGGCCTGGATGGGGAGGCGGTATACACCATGGGCACGTAATTAGCTACATGTTTTGAGGACCTTAGGACGTCAGGATATTTGGATCTAGTCCACAAGGACGTTCAAAGATCATTGTATGGGGCAGTTATTTCAATCTCTTCCAGTGAAATAGATAAAGCAAAGGCATTAATTACGTCCTAGCATTCTTCACAAATTACCCCCTGAGATTCATCGGATCTGAACGTTTTTTTATTTTTTTTTACTCCCAGCTAATTTGCATCCCAGAAGCATCAGAGTCAACGGGCTTGGCAGTTTTGATAATCCAAAAGACCTGTCCGCCAAGAAGCAAAGTAGCGAAGATACCAAGCGCCACCTCCATAGCAAAAGTCTTACCTACAACCTTGGCAAAGCGAACACGGGCAGCCCAGTCAAAGGTAGTCCATGCATCCATCAGGCCAATCTTGCCGCTGCCACCGGTTATCGTAGGGCTGACTTTACCCCCGAAAGAGCGATCAAATGGTACAATAGTCTCATCTTCTTCGGGAAGCATGGAGGCAGCCACACGGACAAAGATGACACGAGCAGGCATAGAGATCAAAAATGCCAGAATAGCAGGAATCACACAGACACTCATGAAGCGATAGAGGGCCACCAGAGGGGGGACCTCCTGATCGCTGACAACATCGAGCAAGCCAGCAAAATTGGCAATAGCCATGGGGATGAAGAAAGCAGCAGCAGTCAGAACATCCTGGAGAGCAGCAGCCGGAGCAATCTTAATCCAAGTCTTACAACTGGGGATGCGCTGGTAGAAGCGCTTTGGGGAGGGCTCAGAGATGACAATGTGCACCCACGCCATCTGCCAAGTAGCCAGGAGAACGCTCAGGATAGACTGGATGATACACTGGCTCAGGTATGAAGTGGAAGAAACGGGGATGAAAGATGAAAGGAAGCCACGGGCTGCGGTGTAGGCCACAAACATACCCATTCCACGGAAGCGAGACCAGAACCCCGCACGGGAGCGCAGGTGCTTCACAGTAGTGCGCAGCTTGCTGGTGATAGGCTTTGGAGGGGTAGCCGCAACCAGCTCAAGATCTTCCTCGTCGGTTGGCTTGATAGTATCGGGATTGGGAACAATGCGCACGTAGATATCAGGGTATGTATCTTCAACTGCGGCCAGAGTGGAGATCACCATCCCGTAGGTATACTCAACCTGTCGGGTATTAGTTCCACGAGGTTATATCTGTGGAGAATCATTTCTGACTTACAGCCCAGAAACCAATACCAATTAAGATAGCAGTGATAGCAAACAGAGCCACCAAGCCTTCATTAGGCTGCTGGTGCTCAAGCTTGCCGGACTGCACATGAGTGACAGCAAGCTCAGTGCCCCGACGCATCAGGACATTCGTGACGGACATAATGAAGCCAACACTATGAGTGAACCAATAAATTTGTATATAAATGAGATGGAAATTAGATGGAAAATTTGGAAGAGTAAAGATGAGATGGAGAGGAAGATGGGTTTTATTTGATACAAAGGCAGGCAGCAGACCACTAGCGCCGGAGTCGACGGATACTCTTGCAGTACTTAAATTTTGCTGGTGCTTCATCTACAAGTTGAGGTACCTGTCATGTACCCCTTTGATCAGCCTCATTCCCAGTTGCAGTTGGAACTTGAACACTCTCCTTTCTTTCTGCTAAAATGACCATGCAACATAGGTTGACTATTTGATTTCCAACCCTTCAAATCCTGGTTACTTAGTATAAATATAGAACCCCCTTAAATCGTCGGCATCCAGTTCCTCCGACCAGGCATCGCCCCCGAACCAGCCTCGCCTATGAACGTGCTCTAAAGCTTGGACTTAGCGCTAACATGCCGGTGCCCCCTGCTTAACCGCATTCGGAGGTAGCGCAGATATAGAGCGGGAAAGTAGACCCGATTGAGCCTCAATGGTCTCAGGGAAAATGTGTGTACGCTGCTTAAATCCTGCTTAAATCCCATTGATAAATTCCTATAAATTTTGTTGGCTGACAAAATTTGCTTCTATCAATATGGGCAAATCTTGCGTACATTGTAGATCTGATATGACATGGCCAACTCCCAGAGATCACACCTTGAAAAAAGGCCTTTCTACAGAATATTAGAAATCAACTAAATGTCCAAAATGACACAAGACGTGATCAGAAGGATGCGAACCAATCAAATCATGGTCGCTGATAACCATCCGTGGATGGGACACAGAACGCTGCAAATAGAGATCAATCATGGTATGTACACACAGAAGCATTCTCATCAAGTTTAGTCAAACAATCTCTTCATACCCTTATGTGCCAGCTCGACGCCGAGGAAAGTGGCGGCATTAGCAGGCACCGCACGGGCGAGAGCCGGTCCGAACCCAGGGAAGAAGGCCTTGAAACCACCACTAGCGTATATCGAGCGGATAACGCCACCCACGGTAGGCTTTCCCGATGCGCTCTGCAGGCGGGATTTGACGGTGTCAATGGGGAAGACAGGAATCCACATGGCAATACCGGCAGCACCACCAGCACACACAACGGCATATAGGGATAGCTCGCCTGTCACATTGCCTTGAACATCCTTGGGAGTCAAGGAGCGCTTCATGTACTCGTAGGCCGCGAAGTAGGCGGCCGAGCCGGGACCATCACGCGCCAGCGTCATAGCGCTGCCACGGAACACGCTGCGAACACCACCTTCCTTGTACAGCTGGCGCACGACATCCATACTGCCAGAGTACTTGGGCTTCTCACCCGGGGCCAGAGTCTTCTGGCCCTGGATCTGGAGGAGGACCTTGACACGCTCGAAGGGTGCCGTGATCAGAGTCATCGGGATGGCGGAGAAGAAACCCGCAGAAGAGATCTGTGCAATGGAGTACTGTGGGGTGTCGTTCTTGATGGGGACGATGGAGAGCTTTTCCACGAGGGTCTTGCCCACGTCGTAAGCCTAATGTATTGTTAGCATTGCTTCCGACTGGGCAATCGCGGCTGGCTCTAGGCTCCAAGAGAAAAGAGGAGCCAAAAAAAAAACGTACCCAAAAGCTGACAGCAACTGTGAGACAGAACTGAATTAACTCATGTCTCGACCAATTGCTCATGTGAGAGCCCAATACAACTAATGATAGATAACTTACACATGGGAGTAACTCCAACAAGCGGTGCGGAGACACCGGCATACAATCCCTATAGAAACCATTCTCAGTTCAGTCGCTGATATTCAACGTGCTTTTGTTGATCATACACGAGCAAATCCTTCACGGGCAATTGTCCTCTTGACCACGTCCATGGCACCTGAGTAAATGCCCTTCTCGGCCGTCTGTAGGCGCACCTTCACCAGATCAAACGGGTGACCGACGACCACAGCGCAGAGACCACCAGCGGCACCAGCTGCGAGAGAACGCAGCTGTACAATGGTCTGATTAACAGCCTTGGTCTCAACAACCTTGATCTCCTCTTTCAGCTGCTGGGTGGAGGGGATGGAGGGGGACATGGTGGACGGTTTGGAGCGGGGAAAGAGGTAGGGATGAAGATGGGGGGTGAAGAAGAGAAAGAAGAAGTAGGAGACAGGACAGCAACCAAGAATAAGATGTTAAAGAAACAATAGTCCAGTAAGAAAATTAAGTCTGAAGATCTCCAAATGATAGACACCGACAGACCGAAGCCGACTGGTCTTCCCCGGACGAAGATGTGCCTCGGCTCGGCCGCGGAGAAACCAGATTCCCGTGGCAGAATGCACGTTTCAAAGTAGTCTACAGTGCGGAGTGCTGTAGTACTAGATGGTGGAGAGTTATTTGAAATCATTTGGCGAATTTCCTCGGAGAATCTAGTTTTGCTTGCTCTTCTTATAATGTCGGTGGCCTCTGAGCGCGTCAGTCCGGGTGAACGGGCGAGCTCAACCACTCCGCGTTTCCCCCGGAATAACGGATGGCCAGGTTAGGACTAGGTTCTACTACTTCATCTCTCTACAGCCCTTCCTCAAATGCATCGGTAAAGGGCAGATATGAAGTGCCTACATCGTTGCTGATGTGCACGCACGTGAAAATACGGTTGGAAATCACTTGGAAATGCACTTGCGTTCATCAGTGGGACGCTACCAAATATCAGCACCACTCCGTATAACCATGACACGTCCACACATCCAAGTACAAGACTGTAGATGAAAAACTTCATCTCTGATGATTAAGATCCATCAAGATGGCTCAAGTTACTGATTTAGCATTCAATGGTTTGGACAACTGCCCCGAGACTGTGGGAAAACTAGATGCCATAATGCAGATTTCATTCGTTAAGCTCGATTGACATTAGATTAGCTCTCTGAACTGAGAGAAGACAAAACATGATCGTTTCCATCATGAACCTGTTCCATAGTGTACCTATACAAGTCAGACGGCGACACAAGAATCGTGACCCATAAATTGACACAGAAATGAGAGAGCGGACTCTCTTCGCCTTCACATGTGAGATTTTACAACGCGAAGATTGCAAGCATGCCGAGGACGCCCATAGCACCAGTACCAGCAGTAGCCATGGCAGCAGCGGCACCGTGGCTGGTAGTCGAAGCAGCAGCGCCGGCCGTGGAGCTAGAAGTAGAGCTGTCGGAGTCAGAGCTGGAACCGGAACCGGAGCCGGAGCCAGACTCAGAACCAGAGCCGCTGGAGCCGGTGGAAGTGGAAGATGCGCCAGTGCTAGCCTTGGTCACCATGGAGCTGGAGGCGTCAGTGCTCTAAAAAGAGATGGTCAGCGTGGTATTCAGAGAGAAGAAGAAGAAGAAGCGTATCTTACGGTGATTGTGGAAACGGAGCCAGTGCTGGTAGCGGAGCCGCTGGCACCAGAACCTGAGCCTGAGGCGTCAGTGCCAGTAGCGCTCACGTCAGTGCCGGTGGCAGCCTTGGAGCCAGAGGCGTCAGTGCTAGTAACGCTCACGTCAGTGCCGGTGGCAGTGGAGACCGCTGCGCCAGTGCTCGTCGCACTGGCGTCGGAGCTGGTGGCAGTGGAGTCAGAGCCAGAGGTGGTGGCGGAGTCGGAGCTGGAGGTAGAGCTAGACTCAGATCCGGAAACAGAGCTGGAGCTGGTGTCAGAGCCAGCGACACCGCCTGCGATTTCATATTAGCATCCTGTATCCACAGGGAAGCAAGTGATTGATGATGTTGACATACCAGGGCACTTGGCAACGGCCATAGCGAGAACCTGCTCGGGGTCGTCACTGGGGCAGGCCTCCTTGGTGCAGTCCCGGATGCCGAACTTGTAGTTGTCACTCTTGCACAGGCAGGCGAGGTCACCAGAGTTGCAACCCAATTGGGAAGCCTGCGCGTTCATGTTGGAGAGACACATGGACTACAAAGGCATTTTGATCAGCATTGAGCATCAACAGATCATGAAGTTGGTGGAACTGACAGCGCAATCAGAGACGGAGGCGGCAGTGTCAGCGGCGACCATGCCAAAGGCGGCCATCAAGGCCAGAGCAACGGGGGAGAAAGACTTCATGATTGGGGAAGTACGGGAAGAGTATTAATCCTGGAGGGGTGGTTTAGAAAGAATTTTATGGGCCAGGTGGAAAAACCGAACGAAATTCGGAGCTGGGGGTCATTTTATAAGACAGGCCTGAGAAAACCCACGCAAACTGTGCATCAACATTCACCAGCCACCTGCCCCAGACTAATAAATTGCAAGCTCCAATTGTGGACCAAAAAGAACGAAAGTGGACGACACGAACGGTCAAACCCAATCACCATATAGGTGTGGATTGCTTCCCAGGGCCAGTTGGGATTGTTCGACTCAACGTGGCGATTAGAGGAGCGAAATTCAATGGCCTGACCCATTTTGAAGTCATCACATTCACTTCCAGGATCTTCTCTCTGAAATGGGGGATGATCGCCCTGGAGATAGCTCACACTTCTCCATGTCGATCTCATAGGTTCATCCAATCACTAGGGGCCCCCCTCAGGAATCGGATTTCAGGAAATTTATTTTTTAATTTTTTTTGGCTTTTCCACAATGTTCTCTATTCATTGAACCACTTAACCGAAGGAGCAGTATGTTATACAGAGTACGGAGTACGGAGTACTCTGAAAGACTAAAGGTACACCCAGTTTGACTGTGGTTTCCTGTTCGTCAATTCTTCGTGTAGAACATAGGTCCAAACCAGTGGCGATAGATCCAAATCGGTCAAGTCAGTCGAAGAGTCGGAGACATCCCGATCGCACTATTGAAATTGGAAAACTTAATTCGACTGTGTGGCTGAGTTCAGCCACACTCTGCGACGATTACGCATCGTTATTATGTATTCTCTACATTCGTTATACACCATACTCGTTATATCGTGATGCGTCCAGGGTTTATCAAGGGATGTCTCCTAGAAAGGAGATTGGAGAGACGGTGATTTGAACCCCTTCCGTGTGGTTCCTGTTTGAATTCCTTTTTTTGGGGGGGGTCCCTTTTGTTTCCTTTTGTGTCCTTTTTTTTTTCTCTCTCTTCAAAGTAAATCTTTTAGATCAAAATCAAAACATCCACAGTAGAAGATACGACTCCACATCCAGAGAATGCACAGAAGTACGGAGGACGGAGGACGACTCCGTCCTTCCAGATGAGAATATTAAATGCCGCACCCTAGCCCCGGGGGGGGGGAGGGGGGGGTATGAACTCCAAACTTTTTATGATGGCAAGTGCCATGAGCATAATGATCTAGTCCAGGATGATGTACCAAGTTCAGCATGTATCTTTTTTACTTCGGAGAACATACAACATACAACATATGTAGTAAATGCAGCTAGCTAGACGGAGTACTCCGTCCACGGGTACTCACCGACATGTTCCCGTCTAAGCCGATGACGAGTGAAGCTCCGATTCGTGCAGATCTCAACGCTATCTGACAGGTGGCCTGGAAACCTGCATACGGTTTGTCTTGGTCCCTTGGCAAATCTTAAACACCGCTATCCATGACTTCTGAGACCCTCCAGAGGGTAGTATGTTGTACGGCGAAGAATAACGACCTGATGTTGGCACAAGTCTGCCATCTCTATCCTACAGGGCCAATTCGCCAATCCAACATAGACTCACAATCTTAGCATTACATCGAGTCCAACACTACTGCGAGGACTAGGCGCTTATCTAGACTTCCCCTCTCCAACTTCCCATGTTCAAATCTCCAGAGCTACCTATCCATAGGTAATAGGGTCCCACCGATGACAACTACAACCCCTCGATTTATCAAAAGGCTTCTCAATAATACTAATTCACCTATGACCTCCGAGTTAGATACCTTAGGACAGCAGTAGATAGGACAACTAGAGACATACATAAAGAACCTAGGTGATGATTATAGAGCACTAAACCACATCTTAGGATGGATTTGCCAAGTTTCCTAATCGCAAGATGACTATCGATTCTCGTTTCTTGACTTTAAGCACCACCAAAGTATACACCACAGCGGCCATATCTCTCGCTGTTAACGAAAGCAAGAATACCGAATCCCCCCTTCGCTAAGACACACCACTGGCCTTCCCTACTAAGAAATGACATGATGCTAAACAATAGTGACAGCACAATGTAAACTACCACAGAAGATACTCTATCGCACCGCTTAGGGCTATCAACTCACGATACTGGTGTGAATTCAGCGTATCCTCAGAGATCCCATAGCAAAGTGGTTCGGCATTTATAATATCTTCCTATAGCCTATACACGCCGCGCTCCCTTCTCTCGTAGCAACGTGTATCTATTTCGTGGGACCTATCTCTTCGTCCTCGACTCGTGCGAGGCTACACCTAGGTCCTAGACACAACCCACCTACATCGCAGAACCATATATAAAGCCGCGCACCGTGATCATAAATTAGGATAAGCTTGTTAGACCAATACCCTAGGGTGAGATCTAGGCAATTACCGCGGCGAGCCTTTCTATGGGCATGGTAGAAGTTGGCCTGGACTCGGTATCATAGCGGGTTTCCTACCGAGCAAGGGCTTTGACGTTGCTATGATGGGTAATACGATCCATGCCCGAGATGCGCCAGTGAAGATCTACATACATCTTCTGGATCGGATTTTTGATGGATCAGGGATCCCGTGCTCGGGGACCGGCGACGATTGCCAAAAAAAAAAAAAAAAAAAGAATAACCCTGAGTGTATGGAAGAAGCCATCGAACGGATTTATCCGCCTCGACCTGATTCCGCTATTTTCCATTCTCTGCCATAAAACTAGAATGCGGGGAGATACAAGCATCCTGCGCACGGTTTAATCGCTCCGTCCCTCGGAAATAGGGGTTTAGTTGCAGATCTACTAGACCGTGTTGTACCTGCCCTTCTCTCTCTCTCTCTCTCGCCCAGGCCAGCGAGTGTTTTGTGGTGCATCACTATTCAAGAAAATAGGATCTCTAGTTACTATGCAACGGAATTCATTGTGGGTTCGGATGGAATTGCCACAGCAATAGGCAGTGGATGTGGAGCCCGCTTTTAGGTGGGGTGAAGATGTGGTTTGATTGTCAGTTTGGCTGATTTGTCCATTTCTTTATTACTAGTTTTATAAGATTCATTGCTGTATGTGGCATGTGGGATCTACGGAGTAGGTGTAGTAATTTTATATCCCAAGTCAAGAAAAGTGGAAAAGTGGACCCGACACCAAATTCGCAACATGACACAATCAACCATTTCAACTTCGACCCTCTCTGAGAAATGGAATTACCTTGCATGTGAATTGAAGCCTATGAAAAAATTTCATGGGACTAGATACCTCAATGGCTACGCGAAACGAATGCGGACGCCTAACATCTGGAAATCCTCTATTGTCGGCGATGCCGAACCGGCTCGGGCTGGGTCCGGTGGAGTCCGAACAAAAATTTCCATCCGACAAAAGCAAAAGTTTACTGACCGACGCAGGGATCGAACCTGCAATCTCTTGATTCGTAGTCAAGCGCCTTGCCATTGGGCCAGCCGGCCATGCTTGTTGTGGATTACGGGCCAAAATGTGTATTAGATAGGAAATAAATTGTTTGTTGGGAATGTATCAATCAGCTGATGCTCATTTCCAGACATGTGTAATCGAGTCATAGATAATAGTCAGTGATAAAAGATATGAATAATAAACAGAAAGGGGGAAAAAGTGGTATGAGGGTATGTTAATGCAAGAAAACGCCGTCAAAGAAGTCGAAAATCAGAAGCTGCCCATATCGTCCAGACCGAGTCATATATTCGACTCGAAGATAACTGTCACGTAATCTTGCGGCATTGTGGCGGCCTTTTCAGAGACCATGCCTTCTTCGACTGAGACAATCCGTGATCTATGGTCTAGTACCATTTGCCATCCGAGGCGCACCGCCAAGGACATCAGCAGGCTTCCGACGAAGAACCCGATCAAACAAGCCATCAGGCCAGCGGCAGTGCCAATCAAAGCAGGAATCATGATGGGACGGACGGTGCGGACAGAGGAATCCTTGTGATGGTAGCTGTAGTGAGGACGGTGTTCAGTATGGTGGTGAAGATGAGCTGGAGTAGCCCAGAACGAGAAAAAACGAGTCTTGGCAGTAGAGTCGGTTGCGGTGCCACTGCCAATGGCCTTGATCGCGCATTTGTGGGCGGAGGGTTCCATAATCGGGGCTGAATCGTGGGGTAGCCCCATCGTCCTAGTCCTGGACTGATCGAAAATGGAACCGAATTGGGTCCTCCAGTAGTTCACTACCCACAGTTGACTCTTTTGATAGAAAGTACCTTCCTGATCGCTGCCACGAGCTGGTTCGACACGGATACGGGTCATGCCGTACTTTCCATTTTGGTAAACAAGAAGGTCCACGAGCACTGCGTCCGGTGACACCAGGTTGCCCTGTAGATCGAACAGCTCGACTCGCACGCGGATCATATCCGCCATGGATCCTAATGCGTTTGTGGGGATTGGTTGAGTCACAAGGGTGTAGGATAATTCGGCGGTTTTGTCACTGGGATGGATTTGGTCTGTGTCTTCGTACAGGGGCGCATTGAGCTGCATTGTCACCGATGGAGGATATAGTTGGTGTTCATTGGCGTATAGGCTTCCATTCTGAATAAACAAATCGATAGACTTTATCCATGTTAGTAGACTATCGATGGAAATGATCACATTCACATATCACTTACGAGTCTTGATCGGACGCCATTCTCAAGGCTGTCGGAAGTTGGAACGAACGGAAGTCGGAGTTGATGAGAATCGGGGATGGGGGAAGCGAGGGCACTACCTAAGCAAAGGGCTACCCACAGCAGCTTCATAGTGAGAAATTCAGGATATGATGAACGCGATTGGAGATGAAGTGGATGAACAAGAGTTAGAAAGAAAGACCAAAAGAGAGAGAAGAGAGAGAAGAGAGAGAAGAGAGATATAAGGTATACTTTAAGCTCGGGGGGGTAAACAGAAGTACTCCGTACTTCCTACATCCAACAGAAAAGAGAAAAAGCTTAGCGTTGGTTCCTTCCCCCACTTGGGCCGGTTTCACTCGTATTTGTCTTTGGACTATTCTTAGTATCTTTGCCTCTATATGGAGTAGTTTCAATTTCATATCAAGACGCTTTTTCTTATTTTTTACATTCGATGCGCACATATAAGAAAATTGAGACGGCGTATGGAATAGATTAACATATATGAGAATAGGCCTGGTCTCAAAAAAATATCTAACAGTCAGGCACATCTTGTTAACTAGTCTGTTTAGCTATAGTACCCCCTTTTTGGCGTTGTAGAGTGTAGGTGGTACAACCTCCCTTATACGATTTTCCTACTGTTGTCCAGGCTCCTCGGATTCTAACTCCTCTACGGCGATAGTTCGAAATTCAATTCAAGATGTACGAGGACCAACGAAAGCAAGTGATCAAGGAATCAAAAATTACAGACACGAGTGGTCGTGTAGAGATTGAAAATGTATCCATCCTAGGACCCTGAAAATTCCGTATGGCCACTAGGAAATTATGAGCGTTAACTAAGAAGGGGGAGAGGATGGAAAAAAACCCCCCCCCCAGAAAAACCAAAACAAATACAAATACAAATGCAAAATTTCAGAGTCCAAAACCCCTGCTCATGTGAGAATTCTTCGGATGGAGTAAAAAAAAAAAGCTCTAGCTATTACGCCTTGGTCCCATTGTCTAGTGCAATTGCGCTCCAATGGGAATTTTCGCTGCTGGCACGGATCAAACAAGACGAGCTACGGTTGCATGCCAAGTTTTTGTCGGCAATTTTGTTCAAGTTCTATGTGGAACTTCAAGGTTCAGATTGTAATCGGCCTCAAATCTACCATGTGCATTCGTACGGAGTCTGTATGTGAAGGAGAAGTTGCCTTTCCCCCCCTATATTAATCCCGAAGTGGCCTTGACTATTTATGAAACATCTTTTGTACATCGTTGCTATTAGATTCCGGCTCAGGTCGGTTTATAGTAGGGCGCAGTCTGCCAGAACCGACAGCGTGCGTTGTTGGTCGGATCCTGCGCCGGCTGGATGGCACGATTGCCAATGTTCATGAGCTGTGCATGCTGGCCATGTTTTCTGAAGACCGGGGCCAGATGGGATTTAGGTTCGCCATGCTGGACAAAGCTAGTAAAGAAGTCCTGCATCGCCAATGCCACGGTCACATTAGCGACCTTCGAGCTACTCCCGTTGTTGTAGAAGGTGTATGGGACATCCTGTCCATGTAGCGCGGGTGGAACGCTGAACTCATATGCGTAGGTCTCATTGTAGAAAGCGCGGTTGATGTAATCAGTATTGCACTGGAAGACGAGATCCGCGATGACGAGTGCTGTGCGCGCGACCGAGTTGGTGTACCCATAGGAGCCGTTATAGACGGGTGGATAGAGGACGTTCAAGACAAAGTCGGACACGTTTGCTGGAGTATTCGGTGACAAGGTCTTCATTTGAATTTCCAGACCGGTGCTGTTCACGCTGTCCGGCGAAGTAAAGTCCAACCCTTCGTTCGAATTATGCCCGACCATGATGTTCAGGTTGTGGTCAAAATCGCCTCGAAGCAGAAGTTTCCCTGGCAGAGCAGGCACGAAGTTGCCGTCCACAACGGGACCGTAGGTGAATTGTCCCCACTCAGACTTGGTCGCGACCTGGTACGCATTCGCGGCGATCAATTTGTCCGATGGCAATTTCCGGGCTTCTGCAACCGTGCTGACATTAAGAATCTCCAAAAACTGCTGCAGCGTGTCTTCTTGTTGCTGTTCGCCAATGATTGGGACCCAGCCCGGGCTCTGCAAGATCGCTTGCTTGAAGGGTGAAGCACCCCGTGTACCTCCGTAGGCGGTAATCTGATGAAGGATTGATCCTGCTCCAGCAGACTCTCCCATCACTGTGACTCGAGTTGGATCTCCACCGAAAAGGTGAATGTTCTTGTAAACCCAGTCAAGAGCAAAGCGTTGATCGTGGAGTGCTGCGTTGGCGGTGCCATTTGCTGTGATGCTGTCACCACCAAGCCAGCCAAATGCACCCAACTTTAACAAAAATTAGCATTCTCACGGGAAACTAGAAAAGAAACCCCCCGTCCCCCCCCCCCCCAACGGATTGCTCGACTTACTCGATAATTCAAGGCAACGTAGACAATCCCATCCTTATTTCCCAGCCTGCTTCGCTGGATCAACCCAGTGGGGTCTGTGTTGGACTTGTCTCCCTCCACATACCCTCCGCCAAAGATCCACACCAGCACCGGTGCCAAGTTCTTTCGAGATGCTGCGCCTTTGGCTTTTGTGCGTTCGAAGATCTTTTTGGGGACAACGACATCAAGGAACAAACAGTCCTCGGAGGTGCGTGGGTCTTGCTCCGCCGGCTTGTACTCATATGAAGAGATATTGGTGGAGACTGAGAAGGACTGGTTGTAGAAGTAGCTCAGAAGGAAAGGTTGTTGGACATCTGCCGACCACAATGGGGCTGCCTGGGGGCACATCCTGCCCACCGAGCCATTCTGGATCTGTTCTCTGTTCTGTTTTGGGAGTGTAGGTGCCTGGAATCGCAGGTCACCGACTGGAGGTGCGGCATATCGGATATTGCTGAAATTATAGAGATCATGGGAGCTCTATTTGGAATGTCAGTTCTGCAAAATAACACCAAAGAAGGCTCAGCTGACATCAAATGAAATTGCTTGGTGTAGCTCATATTCCAGGTCAACCACGGGTAATTGGGAGGCCAGACATGCTGAAGCCAGCGTTAGCAGTAATACAGCGACCATCTTGACCCTAGAAGAGCAAGATCAAACCGCGAGGAAAAGAGCATCTCTGCGTCGTAGAGGTTCTGGGTTTGTTTTAATACTAGCCAGAAACCCCGAAGTCAGGCCGAGCTATGGATAAAAGTAATCTATGTTGAATTTCCCCCTTTAGTGCTGAGTGGAGTACAAAAATTGTTGTGCAATATTTAGGTGGGATTCCCCTGCCCACTTCCTAATTGGATTTAGCACTCTGTACAACATAGTACTCCGTACAGTGAGCCCATAGAAAATGAATTAATTGATTCGCGGTAAAAAAAATCTTCAAATCCAAAGCCAGATCCAGTATATGATCATCTATGAATATGTAGTATTTCAGGGTTACGTGCCAATTTATACTCTACAAAGGTCCCTAGAATCAACCTGCTTTTACACCCCTGATTTCTGCGCTGTACGAACCACGTCTATTAAGCGCACCAGTTAGCTACGTTGAATTCGCCGCCTTTCTGGAAGGTTCGGATCGAACGGTAGGGTCTGTTGATTGGTTGAGCTGGGCTGGTTATCACGTGAGGGAGCGATAAGGCAATTGATTGGTTCAAAGCCGCTAGAAATAGCGTCATTCAGTCTCAACACAACGAAGTTTATATACAATGTAGGAATCATGAACTAGCAACGAGAAAAATTCGTTATTACGACCGGTTTTGGTTCTTTCAAACCGGGTACTCTTTATATCCACATTCGGTATAAATAGGTTTTACTGCACTGTTGCAAAGCAATGAAATCATTCCATCATCGTGAGGTATTTTGTAGGTGTTCGGTAGTCATTGACCCGTAAAAGGGGCCTACTAGACGTTGAAACTAGCTGGCATACAAGGAGGATTCGCCCTTCCGAATTGAATTGATGTGGTTATACTAAAACCATATTCCGTACATCAACATGTAAAATGGCTGATCTTATATCCATGCTCTCTGACTAGTATTAGTACGTAATAACACTGATCAAATACAGCATAAAACGTTGTGCACTTGTGCACTAAGGTGGGTGAATTCCACCCATACACACCTACAACATATGTGCATGAGGGTCGGTTGACGGGTCTTGCTAGTGCTGAGCTAGAGTGTCCACACTTGAATTGATTACGGTCACCCCTATAAACCTAGCACACAACGTACAACAGATGCCAGAGGTTACCCATCCCTTTTACTATGTAGTCGAGCTCTTTGCCCGAGGTCCGCATTCAGCTTCCTAGGCGCAAGTCTACTACTAAACTGCACCCGATATCTATATATCACTAAAGCTATAGTTTACCATCTGTGTACGGAGCACGGAGTACTCTGTATACTTGCCTATATTACAGAGAACATGCTAAAACAAGAAATTTGAATCTATACCACCACCACCATCTTTACGGACATTTCATCTCACCGTTTACATCTGATTCATCATCCTTTCGTAGTAAGAAAATACATCTCAAAGGGGTGGATTATAGAGAGATAGATGATGTAGGATGTTGTGTAGTTGGGGAAGAATCGATGAGCCGAAGGATTCACAGAGGGGATGTGAAAACAACACAAGTGGAAAAATTATAACAAAATGGACGGGTAACCTGTGCCGGGTTGATGTTTTGATAGGGGTTACCGTACCCAATTTAAATATGGCTGACTTGATTTTGCACTAGTTAAACCCCCGTTCAGCTGCCCCAACGTGCAACGCTGCACTAATTCTGAGATTGAGCCCCGCCACCATATGCAATTGTTGGCGAGCACAGACTCCGCGGGGTTACTCCGAGAACTGCAACCTCACAAATGCCCCATCAGACGGAGATACGGAGATTTCGAAAGCTATGGATTGTTGTTGCCTAAAATGGGTTGTTTTCCTAGTTCATTTGCTATACGATGACATGCATTAATCCCTCAATCATCGACCTCACGAATCTCATACTCGAACATCTGGTTAGAAGGCACCTCATGCTCATTCTGGAGTTTCGCGGAACTCTCGGAACCCGCTGCTGGCACACGGTACTCGAATCGTTTCCCGTGCGCTGGCACGGATCCATCAGGCAGTGCATAAGGAAAAGGCAGATATTTGGGTAACAGACCTAGCTGAACAAGTACTGTCGCCTGGTCCCATGCAATGTGTTCATGAAACAAGCGATCCCCGCGGATGTTAACTACAGACGTGAATGGAACGCGAACATGCTTGCCCGTAGGAGGAATTCCGGGGATCCTAGGGGTAAAGACGTCAGTCGATTGCTCGAATCAATCAAAAACCAAAACGCTCACATCCAGTCCATCTGCGTCACATGAGTGAAGACAAATATAAACTCATCCACAATACGGTCAGTGCCAACTGTACGACTAATAAGCTCCAAAGCTGTGTCGTCGGGGTTGTTGAAGATAAAGTGATGGAGATAAAAGTGACTTAAATGAGCTCTTCCAATGCCTCCTGTCAAAGTTGGCACATGATTGACATAAGGCTCCGAGACCATTGTCGCCATTGTCTTTTCAACCGAGCGTGCTTCAAATTCATAATATGTGTGCTCGTCCCAGATCTTCTCAAGGTCAAAGAGTGGGCCACCCATGTACTTTTTAATAAATCCAACACACCGCGTATGACTTACTCCTGCGGTCGATAGCTTGAAATCCGGGTGGCCGGGGATTATGAAGCTGGGGGAGGATACGTCGGAGTATATGTGTATAGTTTGACCTTCCTTCTTGCTTTCCATTGGACTAGACAGCTGGAAAAGTGCTGACTGAAAAAAAGGAATGTCCCAAGAGTCGAAGAAAACTACTGCGATCAGAGCCATACCTTGAGTTAGTGCACCTTGCAGACCATCCTCGAATCGAGGAGCATAATCTTTCTTCGATCCATAGACTGATTTGAAATCAGTAGAAATTAGTGGAATAGTCAGGTTGGCGCTGCTGTACCTATCAATCCAACCTTTTCCTTCGCATCGCACTCCAGCCTCTCTATTAAGCCACGCTCAGCTTCCTGAAGAAGCTCTCGTACAGAAGATCTATCAATGACAGACTTCTCATCCACAGTAATCTGTGCCACCGTGAAGCTTTCCTCCGCCCATTTTTTGAGAGGCTCTGGATCAAGGGTCTTGTTGTCCCGCTGACATGTCGCGTAACAAAGAGGTCGTATGATAATTAGCCCTGGGCCGTGTCCACAGCGGGAGAGAGGTGGCTGGATGATCACATATGGACTCAGATCTACTTGAGTAGAAGATGCACTTGACTCTGTCATTTTTCAGTCAGACAGAATTTGGAAGTTGAGTGAAAGTGACATTCGAAGGGTTTCAAAGTAGCCGGGCGATCGTTATGTATACCCGAGGGCCTCTGTTACCCCCACTAAGAGGAGAAAAAGGGTCAAATTTAGCTGTGCAACAAATACACACTGAGAGATTTAAAAAAGCCAGAAATTCTTTTGTGTGATTATTGCGATCCTCGCGTTTATCTAAGATATTCCAACCCACGTGACCTGCCCTCGGAGCTCGATCCGTTCATTTCCACGCGCGAACTATTGTCCAAAGAGCACAACCCAACAATGAACGCACTTGTCCAGTCTGCCCTGACTGATGTCGAATCCAAACTCAATGCTCTTTTGACTAGCCTCACAACCTCCCCCACTGCTGCGGGAGCCCCTGCAGCAGCTGTCGCCCTGCTCGTTGCGGACGATGCACTAACCTCCGCCATTGAAACCCTTCGACAGCACCAAGAAAACCACGCAAGGATCCTTCGACTGCGAAACGAGGCACAGCAATTGGAGGACCGAGTCAAGGGTATCGTCAGGGATATCGAAGGATTCGAGAAAGAGATCCGCACAGCCTGTGGAGACAACGGTGATAGCGACAGCGATTTCGATTCTGACTCCGATGACGACCTTGGGGGAAAGAAACCATTGCTACGGGGAATCAAAGAGATTGACTATAAGTTGCTCTTGGATTTCGCGCGTCGCATCAGCAAATACAACCACGAAGCAGCAGCCGATGCTGCAACGGGCGCGTTGGAACGGCAGGAACAAGGAAATGCCCTCGCCGACAAAGATGTGACGATGACAGGAACAGATGGAAAACAACCAACAGAGGGCGCCGAGCCAGTAGCGTCTGTCACCAAAAACGCAACGCAGTGGTTGGACGAGTCCGCGAATGTTACGCGCCAGGTCTACATGCTGCCCTACCCGATGGAGGAACGGATCCGGATGGGCTTGATGGGTCAAATCCAGCTTACTGCTAGCAACGACCCCGAAAAGGAAGTGGAGCGGTTATTACGCGAAGCTGAGGGTCTTGGGGCCGCAGAACCGCCAGCACCGGTGGAACCCGCGGAAAGCACGAAACAGGCGGGTGAGGCTGCGAAGGCTGCAGTTCAAGCTGGATCATCCGCCGCCGGAATGTTGCGGGCGCATGCTTCAGCATTGGCACCGAAACCAAAACCCAAGGCGATGCTGGACCTTGATCTCTACGACCCCGACGAAGATGATGATTGAGTGTTTTAAAAGCGGGCGTTGCATTCGAATTTTACAGTGATACCAGCTATAATAGCATCAAAAGCCATTTAAGATTCTTTTCTTTCAACCAAGTTTGACTCCACATTGCAAATATTGATACGGCTATTGCATCTTATAGACCGAAGACTTGACCGACTTACTACATACGTAGAATGGGTGCCTAGAAACACCACAATGCTATCGATGATTTATTTAACATGGTTAGCTTGGACTTTTGGTTATCAACCACGAGGTGAGGGATTTGCGAAAGCTTTAGCATCAGACATTCTTGATAACAGTGACAGACACGAAAATCGAGCCGGCCACGGACTTGTAGCTGTCAACCGCATCTGTGCTGGTCATATCCAGAAGGGCTGCAACTTGGATGTCTGCCGTAGTGTATCCCATGAAGACCATGATCACCTATGCATCGATCAATCAGTTGAACACCCGCCGAGCAAGGGATGGCTGTATTCACTTTCCAGTCCAACTTACACTGATATATAAATGAAGTTATGAAATTGCCGTAATCGAAATCAAAACATATGGAAAAACTTCTGGCAAACACATCTCAGGTTCTCGAACGCCTTGATGAGGATCCCATCCGAAGTAAGACCATTGCTGGCGAATCCTATGAAACTCCCGATCAAAACAGCAAGCTTTGGATCTTTTCAACCCTGAACCCTGGATTTTTTTTTCTTGTATACGCCAAAAGCTCCCACGGAATCAAGATTAGCAGCGTCAATATGGTTTGACGCCTCCGACATATATTTGCCAACCAAAATGAAGTATTCTGTATCGCAGGATGAAATTTCCATTCAGGCTTCATTTAGTCAAATGGAACATGGGAGAATCCAGTGTTCAGTCCTAACACCGCTCTTTGAAGCTTCTTCTTCTTTCTGATTCTCTCAATATAAATTCCCATTAGTTAATGAGGGGTAGATGAACACACAGGGAGGAAATGAAGAGACTAGAGAGTTTTGCAATTCATTTTCTTGTGAAAGATCTAAAGAATCTTCAGGAAATCCCTTTGTTACATACTGCTTAGTGTAATGTCCGTATTGTACATTTTTCAATTTACAAACAGACATAACACCATGTATCATAGTGTGTCTAGGAGAAAATAACACATGTTGTATGAAATTGATCTGTAGAAAACTTGGCTTTGCGTTTCACATTCACGTGTCCCAAAGAATGAACCAAGTTATATTAATAGTGAGAACCAAAAAGAAGGTGTGAAAAAAGAATGCCTCCTGTCGGGATTGATCCGACGACATTATCATTTCAGTAATGAGATTACTTACGAGTGATACGCTCTACCACTGAGCTAAAGAGGCATCAACGAATCTTTAATAAGTTAAACTTGCACATGATTATGCGTGTTGATTGGTAAAAAGCACTAGTCTTGGACATCACACATGGTTATTCTTGTGTCTCAACAACCACGTTATGGTTTGATTTCGATGTAACTCAGCAAATCGCTATCGATAGGGGTTTAAAACACGGTATGTCAATTCCTATAAAACCAAAAGGCTGTATTACCAAGAGAATAAACATTCTCAAATCCCAGGCTAGATGGAAACCCCTATACAACCCTCTCAAGAGATCAAATTATAAGTTACAATTTGTAACTTATCGCACACACTTTACGTGTTAGAGTGACTAGCTCACACATGAAATTTTTACGTTGTGTACTAACCGAGAGAGATGAAACGGGGAGGTTTACATCCAACGTATTTCACTGCCGAGTGGTCCACTAAATTTAATACACTATATTCAAATTCATGTATTTCCACCATAACCTCATTATATTAATTTTAGGGAAATCAGAATCTCTCTAACTTGATGCCCTGGTTTTTAACACCCACAATATAGTTGGGAGCCCGTACAACTGGGTGCAAATCTGATAAAGGGCTGCTTCGCGTGGGGGTGGTGTCAGGGTGCGGGCTGGCAGGACGGTATGATAGGAGATGACTGGCAGGGACAGGTCGTAACAGATCAGATTCACATTGACAGGCAGGTACAGGCAGGGGCAGGCTAATATACAAGACGTAGCTCGAAGAGCTACAACAGGATCTAGAACTGAAGTTCAAGATAAACAGGTCGGAGATCACGTGTCGTGATCTTCCTTTTACTAAGCATTACGGTTCACACCGTGACAGGTGGTGGGGTTTTATTTAGAATCTAGTTTCGTAGCTAGTTTCATATATATTTTCGCATCTAGCTTAGTATCGATGCTAGTATCGATTTTAGCATTAAGTAACTAGGTTAGCATATAATTTCGTATCTAGTTTCGTAACAAGTTAAATAGCTAGCTTAGCGCCTAGTTTAGTACCTGATGCAATCAATAGTATATTCAGCACGTGATTCGCTACCTGATTTGGAGTAACTCGGTATATATCATGTGATTTAGTTATAACGTGGCTAAACTCACTAATAAACGATATCCATAACTTTGACGAGACTGGTTGCGCAATAGGCCTAACTATAACTACGAAGGTTATTATAAGGAGTGAATACTACGTTCGGAGGCCGGTTTTATAACCTAGAAACTGTGAATAGGTGATAGTGGTTAAATATACGAATGCTTCTAGATAGGCGCTTCCTCTATACATGATTTTTAAAGGTAAAGTTTTTATTAAATGATAGTTCAACGGCCTTCCGGATAATTAGCGTTTTAAAGTTAGTCATGTCACGGTGTGAAGCGTAA